CTCACTGCCTCACCAGACCATGCTGCTTCCCACGCTACTGCCGCAGCTACAATAGGATAGAGCTTGAACAGGGCAGAAGTGGTAGAAAAATCTTGTACATTGTGCACTTCAATAGGCCAAACTCCCCCATAGCCAATTATCACCAAAATAGCCGCAAAGCCTGAGGTGGTAGCCGTGTCTGTAAAAATAGTAAGAGAGTCAGCGGTAAGTAAAGGGATAAACATGCTTTTCCCATTCCATCTCATGAAAAAAATTCCTGCCACATGCGTAAATCGGAGGTAACCGGAACATCCAGTGAAATGCGGGAAATATCAGACTGAAAACGGGGAAACAGATTGAGCAATCTAGATATCAAAGCCCTGCGGGATAATTTTCATGACAAAGTTGAGGGAGCTTAGTAGAGACTGTAATTCTGTACAATTACAAGATTCCGCAGAGATATATAGATCAATGCTGGATAGGATGTGCTCAATCTTATCTCTAGGCAAACTGGCTTGCATATTAACAGAATCTAGCATGATACCCAGGAACTGTATCAACGTATCGGGTCCTTCTGTCTTTTTAGGGGAGACGGGGACCCCCAGGTGTTGAAAAAGCTGGATCGTGGTTCTCAGGCTAGGCTACTGGGTGGAAATTAGTTACTCTCAATTGTCAAGAAGTCATCTAAATAGTGAATAACTGTGGGGTATCTACAGACATTGAGCAGTAGCCAGCATAAATTCTCAGCGAAGGTATTGGAAATCCTGGGGCTACTTTTTGCACCAAAAGTGAGATAAGTGAAAAAATAGTAAATACCCTGCCACTTAACACCATGTAGATGCCACAAAGAAGGATGGATTGGGAGGAGCTTGAAGGTATTAATGATGTTGGTCATACTGAGCCATGCCCCTTTCCCTGTAGTCAGAATTGCGTCAATGGCATAATCAAATGGCATACTGAAGGGAGAATTCCTCTGAAAGAATGAGAGAGTTTAGACTGGGGTATGTGGAAGCAGAGAGGTCTACAATCAACCTTTGCTTGGCTGAACTTTTACTAGAGACTACCCCTATAGGGTTAGTTCTCTATACTGAGAAAGGTGGGAAACTGAATGGCCCATCTTCTTGATCCAATTCAATCTGTAACAGAGTGTAAACAGCTATAGGATTGGCAAGGGCGGACAGCAGGTTCTTACAATCTATAATGCCAGATGGCATGTAAATGATTCCAGTATGGAATCCTTCCGTGAATCCACTCACCAAAAATTCGGGTTAGGGATGGTTGATGGTTGAGGACAGGTAGGGTGTGGGAAAAATTTTTTATTTGGACACATTGTCTTGGCATGTGCCCTAAAACAAAGAGAACACACATGCAATAACTGGCACGCACTAAATCCACAGGAACCTGCATTAAAGTTATTGCAAATCTGGGATTTACCCAGAAAAACAATATTACTACCAAGCTTGTCCTTAATCACCTTCTCGGGTTTAGCTGAGGAGATTGGGAAAGGAAATGTAATTGTTTTGTATTGTTTTTTTACCCTATTTTGTGCTGCTGCTTGATTAATTGGGGGAGTGTTCCTTAATTACACCTGTGTAGGATTTGTATTCCTGTATAAGCACATACTCACTGAGCTTGCTTATATTGCTTGAAAGCAGACTGTTAAGTAGAAGTTAGAAAACCAGGAGTTTAAACTAGGAAGGAAATTGTTTTACTGTTCTGTATCTGGGCAATACCAAGATTGCTGGTTTCACTCAATGCATATCTTGTTGCATGTATGCATGCGTGGATGTACCCATCCAGGGACCATATCTCTGTGACAGGTGTGTGCGAGTGGCTTTTCTGGAAGCTCACATTGGAGATCTCGAGAAGCAAATTGCAACATTGAGGGAGATCAACAATCTTGAGAGGAGTCTGCTGCTCACTGAG